TCCATCTCTTAGCTATTGTGAAAAGAGCAGCAACAAACATGGATGTACAGAGACATTCGTAGTTTTTTAAGAGTTCTCCACACTGCTTTCCATAGGGGTTGAATAAGTTTGCAGCCCCACCAGCTGTGGATGAGTGTTCCCCTTTCCCCACATCCTCGCCAACATTTGGTATCATTTGTTCTCTTGATCTTAGCCAGTCTCTCTGGGGTGAGATGCAATCTTAAAGTGGTTTTAATTTACATTTCCTTTATTATTAGTTATGTTGAACATCTTTTAAGATGCTCCATAACCGTCTTTACTTCTTATTTTGAGAACTCTCTCTTCAGCTCCTTAGCCCATCTTTTGATTGGGTTACTTCTTGTCTTGATTCTCTGTTTTTTGAGTTTGCTATATATTCTGGATGTTAAACATCTGTCAGATGTGTTGCTGGTGAAGATTTTCTCCCATTCTGTGGGTTTTCTCTTTTGCTTCTTTTGATGTACAGAAGCTTTTTAGTTCAATGAGCTCCCATTTGTTGATGCTTGACCTTGCTTCCTGAGCAACTAATGTCTGCTTTAGAAAATCCTTTCCTATACCTATATCTTGTAGTTTATTGCCAAAGTTTTCTTCTAACAGTTTCAGAGTTTCAGGCTTCACATAGAGGTCTTTGATCCACTTGGCGTTGACTTTTGTGCAAGGTGAAAGCTAGGGGTTTCATTTCATTCTACAGGTGGAGATTTAGTTTTGCCAGCTCCATTTGCTGAACATGCTGTCTTTCCTCCAGTGAATATTCTTGGACCCTTTGTCAAATATCAGGTGGTTGAAATGACATATACTCATATTTGGGTCTTCAGTTTTGTTCCATTGATCTATGGGTCTATTTTTCTGCCAGTAACCGTGTTGTTTTTAATGACTATAGCTCTGTAATACAGCTTAAAATATGGTATAGGAATCCCCCTGGCATTACTCTTAGTGCTCAGGGTTGCTTTGGCTATACGAGGTCTTTTATGCTTCCATATGAATCTTAGGATAGTTTTTGCGAATTCGGTGAAAAATGTCTTGGGGATTTTGATTGGCATTGCATTGAATCTCTAAATGGCTTTTGGTAGGATCGTCATTTTCACAATATTAATTCTTCTAATCCATGAGCATGGGAGTTCCTTCCATCTTCTGATATCTTCCTTAGTCTCTTTCTTTAAAGATTTAAAATTTTCATTGTAGAGGCCTTTAATGTCTTTGGTCAGGTTTATTCTGAGATATTTTATTTTATTTTACTTTGCAGCTATTGTGAAGGGGAGTGTTTCCATGTGCTCTTTCTCTGATTGCTTGTTATTGGTATATAGAAAGGCTACAGACTTTTGTAGGTTAATTTTGTAACCTGCCACTTTACTGAATGTGTTCATAATTTCTAGGAGTTTTCTGGTGGAGTTTTTGGCATCTCTTAGATATATCATCTGCAAAAGGGATAATTTCCGATTATTACTCCTTTAATTTCCTGCTCTTATTGCTCTTTCAAGCACTATGTTAAAGAGAAGTGGAGATAGTGGACAGCCTTGTCTGGTTCCTGATTTCAGTGGGAATGCTTCCAGTTTTTCTCCATTTAGAATGATGTTGGCTTTGGGTTTGTTGTATATGGCTTTAATTATGTTGAGGTATGTTCCCTCCAGTCCAATTCCCTCTAGGACTTTGAACATAAATGCGTGTTGAATTTTGTCAAAGGCTTTCTCTGCATCTTGTTCGTGTGTTCTTTAAATTCTTTGAAATCGCTGATCATGTTTATGATTGTTCTTTTAACTTTTGTGTTCTGGGTTATCTCTAGCAGGTTCTCCTTTTAGAACTCTTCTACAGGATTGATTGAGTTTGTTGGGGACATAGTGTTTTGGCTTTCCATTTTATTATTTTGCTGTGATTTTGGCATGTGAATTTCTTTTGTTGTTTATGATTCTGCTATAAGAATTAAGTTGAAATATGCTTCTGTTTGTGTTATTCGGGTGCCTAGATCCTTTTTCTATTGGATATGTAAATCTGTTTGGTACAGGGTTCAAGTTCTCTCAGGTTTAATTTGGAGGGAACTGATCGATTCAGGTCAGCTATTCAGGAGTACCCACAGAAGCCCAATTCAGGGCTTCCAATCAGGTACAGTCAGGCTTTCCTCATCTCCTGGAGGCAGGATCTGGGCACTCTCAGGGATTCTGCCCTCTCAGGTTGTCTGCTAGGATCTCAGCCTTAGCCTACCAAAGCCAGATCTGCCCTGGGACCTTGTGAGGGACCTCAGGAAATCCCAGGTAGGGGGATGGGTATGGCACAATTAGGAGAAGCTCACCGCCACTTGGTGGCGGGATGGGGGCTCTCAGGCAGTCCACTTCGTTCTTAGCCCCTCTGTCAGAGAGAGGCCAGAGAAAAGGCAGAAATCGGCACTCTCTGGTAGTCTGCTGAGTTCACAGCAGCTACACCGATGGAAGTCGGAACCCACCCTTGTGATTGATTCTTATTTCTTGAGAAGGCACGTTGTACTCAAGTTGTGATCTCTAAATTTTCCCCCCTGGGATTATCAGTGAGCCAGTCACAATTTTAGACGACCCTTGGTAGTTGTCTTCTTCTTTAGTTCTACCATATACTTCTGAGAGCTTTAAATTCACCAGCTGGAAGCAGAAAGCCATTTCTTATTTTTATGTGTATGAATGTATTGCTTGTTTATGTCTAAGTGCACCCATGTTGTTCAGTGCTAGAAGATTTCAGAAGTGCGTGTCTGATCCCCTGGAACTGGAGTTACAGATGGTTGTCAGCTGCCATGTGGGTGCTGGGAATTGAACTGGGGTCCTCTACAAGAGCAGTCAGTGCTCTTAACTGCTGAACCATCTCTCTAGCCTCTGAATACTGTATTCGTATCTTAGAAAAAGAATAGATTGAGTTAAACCAAGGAGATGATGAAGCACTGGTGGTAGGTGCATGAGGTGACTTTGGTACAAGAAAAAAAGTGGTCTAGTAACCTCCTTGATGGCTATGTTGTTCTTTTACAATAAGGGTTCTGATCTACATAAATCATAAATGATTACATTTTGAGTGATCCTTTATTGAGTTATTTGTGCTAAGCTAAATGTTTGGTTACAAGAGCCAGACTGCCTATGTTCACATTCTGTTTTGGCTACCCATTTAGGCTTCCTGTGTCCTAGTTTGCTCAGATACAGGATCATTTTAATCAATAACTCATAGGGTTACTTTGAAGGTTAAATAAAGTAATTAATATTTAACATGCTTGAAACACTATCTTGCACAGTAGTTAGTACTATGTAAGCTTTTAGTTAAAATGAATATGTATTGGGGAACAATCAAGAAGGGAGAAAGGAGGATATTACAGATCATTTAGTTAAATAAGCTAGTTTCTGTTAAGTTTCTACAATTGTAACACATACCTGAGCTAATCAACTTATAAAGAGAAAAAGTTTATTTTAGCTAATGATTGTGGAGTTTCTGTTTTCACATTGTTGGCTCCATGGCTTTGGGCCTATGGTGAGGCACTGTATATTTTAGGTGTTTGTGGTAGAGCACAACCACTCAAGAGAAACTAAGAAGGAGGTGCTATGGTCCTGCCATTTCTTTCAAGAGCATGACCCTAATGACCTTCCATCATACCTACCTAAAGGTCTCACCCCCTCTCAGAAGTGCTGCTCTGGGAACCAAGTCATTAAGTTACAGGGCTTTGATGGACATTCAGAATCCAACTAGAGTGCAAATGAAGTTTTAGAGTTTAAAACTATTATTTTTATAGAAAAAGCTTTATTTATTTTATGTGTTTTACCTGCATGTAGGCAAATGCACTTGTGTCATGCAATGTCTGTGGAGGCTGGAAGAGGATACCCTAGAACTGTAGTTATGGAAAGTTGTTAGCCACCCTGTAGGTGCTGGTAACTGAACCCTCTACAGGAGCAGTCAGTGCTCTTAACTGTTTTAATCTCAACAGTGAAAATGTTGGTATAAATCCAAGTTACTGAGTGTTAATAGTTTGAAAAGTAATGATTATATATATGTATATCCCTTAATTAGGTGTTCTAGTTTGCTTTCCATTCCTGTGATAAAACACCAACAAAAACCAACTTGGGGAGAAAAGGATTTATTTCATCTTACAGGTTACAGTCCATCATTTACTGAAGCCAGGGCAGGAGCCTTGAGGCAGGAATTGAAGCAGGGACCATGGAAGAACGCTGCTTACTGACTTTTTCAGCTAGTTTTCTTCTACAGCCCAGTCCTACTCACCCATAGCACAGTCCATTGAGGGGGGTGGTGTGGGGAGGTAGGGCTAGACCCTTAATTAGCAATTGTTAGCAATTATAATCTAATTAGCAATTAGAAAATGCCCCACAAACATGGCCCACAGGCCAGGTGGAAGCAGTTCCTTACTTGGGGTTCCATCTTCCCAACTGTCTCTAGTTTGTGTTGAGTTGGCAAAAACTAACCAGTGCTGTAGGTTCATTGTAGTTTTTACTGCTTTTATTCACAGGATATTCTGAATAATCTTGAATCATGTGATCTTGAGGATGATGATCTTATGCTGGATGTGGATCTGCCGGAAGATGTACCTCTTGAAAATGGTAAGTTTTGATAATAAGCCCTAGGTGTATACATGTGAGATTCTGGAATAGAGCCAATTTGACATTTGTTACCTAATGTCACTTAAGATCTGATGTAGATCAATCTTAAGTGGTATAGATAGGATCAGTTGCAGATATTTAAAACTTGATTATATGGGTCTTAATAGTGTTATGATTCAATTAATTGTATACTTGTATCTGAGACAAGTGGTAGATGATCTGTGTATATGTACATACCCAGTTTTTCCTCACTTTGGTTCACTTTGGCTTTCAGAAGAAATATATTTTAGAGTAACAAATATCTGACTTATACAACTATAATGTACTTGATAAATACTTGAAGAAGATCAAATTCTGGGAAAGTGATCACCTTCTGAATGAACCATTCTGCCTCTTTGATTCCTAATTTCAACCTTTCTGTTTCCCAGCAACTGCCGTGGCAAGACTTTAGATAATCTGTATCCAAGAGGGCTCTGGATTCCTCATGCTCCCAGTGACACAGCATCTATAGGGTTTCTAGACTGAGAAATGGCAGCAACTCAAAGCAAAGCATAGGAGCACTCTGGGACCATGGTTGAACTGGGAATCCTGCTGGGAAAAAGGTGGCTTCAGAGATCTGAGGATTCCCTGTCAATAAATGTTTGCCTATTGTCCTAGACTTCTCCAGGACCAGGGGCATAGTACAGAAGATGAGTGGACACCTTCTTATCTGTAGACCACTGCTGGGGAGGTGGGGGTGTTCCAGAGAGGAGAATATGTTTGTTCTAGGTATGTTTCCTGCTCACCACCGTATTGGTTATTAAATTCTCTTTTTTCTTGCCAAAGTGTTGTGTTCACCAGTCTAATGAATAAGCATACATTTATTTCCCTCATTCATGGGTCTTTGGATTACCTGGGATGTGCTTAGCCTATGAAACTCTATTCAGGTTACTATATGTTTCTTTATTTTGAGACCTGAACTACTTGGGGTAGGTTTTTTAAAAAAATATTTTATTTATTATTTTTTATTTTTATTTTATGTGTATTCGTGTATTGCCTGCATGTGGGTAAGTGCACCCATGTCATGCGATGCCTGTGGAGGACAGAAGAGGCTGTGGGATCCCCTGGAACTGGAGTTTCAGACAGTTGTTAGCTGCCATATTGGTGCTGGGATTCAAACCTGGGTCTTCTGCAAGAATATCCAGTGTTCTTAACTGCTGAGCCATCTTTCCAGCCCAGGGGCAGGTTATTCTTAAGATAAACCACAACAGTATAACAGGACAAGCAGAAACATGCATCTTAGAGCCTCAAACCAGCATACACAAATCTACCATATTCTCCAGACCAAAGCAAGTCTCATGGCCTAGTCTACCCCACTGAGATGTTCACAGTGAGAAGCTGTACAGTCAAATGACTGAGAGCTTAGATTTGTAAATTCATTAAAGAGAGTGAAGAGCTAAGGATAGTATCCTTTGTAATCATAGGAGTAGAGACTCTCATACCTTCTTGTGGTTCTTTTAGCACTCTGGATACTTCTGTAACCACAATGGAGTTCCAGTCTTGAGAAAGGAAAATTATAGCCAACACCTATCAAGAAAAGCAAAGTTGAACTCTTAGGGGATAATAATGAGGGCACTTCAGGAGATTCACTCTCAGCACACTGCTGTCTACAGCTATAGAACAGGGTTACCCAGTGGAACAGTTCAGTAGATGATAAAGGTCATAGCTGCCTTTGAAAGAAGTCTGTTAGTGGTGTGGAAGATAAAGCAGAAAACTATTATAGAACACAAGAAGAAAAACATTAACCATTGAAAATTATTGGATATACTAATGAGACCAGATGATCAGGAAATTTAACATGACTTTTTAAAGGCTGATAATGAGGAGTAAAGGATTTACCTCCATACATCCTAGAGTAATGCATTTTACTCTAATGGAATTAAAATAGCTTCTCCTTGGAAGCTTTATACTCTTTCTGAGCTGAAATCAGAAGTACAGGTAGAATCAGTCTTAGCACTTACTTCATCTTCGGAGCACAGCCTAGAATTCTCATGTTAGATATACAATCACAGGGAAACTATAAATCTTGAAGCCTTCATTGGGTTCTTAGGAGAAGTAGGAGTGGACTCTAGCAACGTTCCACCTATAGTATAGATATTTTTCTTAGGAGAAAACAAATATTGACTATTTTGAGCTAAAATAACACTAAAGAAAGCAGGGCATGGATCTGTGATTAAATTCTCTCTGTAGGCACAGAGAATAAAATAGTATTTAGGTTTAATCCTTCAAGAAAGTAGAAAGTAAATACACTCTTTAGACCTCTGTAAACATGAATAATCATACACATCTGCTTGATTTTTTTTTTTTTTTTGGCCTGGGAGGACAGGAATGTTACAAGAACTGGTAGAAGATTAGGGAATCTTTTAACACACATTTGACTATTGGTTGTAGTCCCTCCTAGCATCTTCTTTTGCTTTTGAGGGTGTTAATGCCAAGTTTGAGGTTGGACTGATCACTTTGAACCTTTCGGTGTTTCAGCAGCATTAATTCTGCCACTATCATTGGCTTTTGTGCCCAAAAGAAGATGGACATGCCAGTGATATATGTTTGGATTTGATCTGGTTACAGGTTACTGCAACTTCATTATGAATAGGCAGTCTTTTATAGTCTCTTTAAAAATAATTTATTGTGTGTATGTTGTGGGGGTTGCATGTATGTATCTGTTATAGAGTTTATGATCACTGGGAAAAGACCACCCTGACTCAAAAAGTTCCAAATCAGCCAAATCTATTTAGCTGGCTGGGATAGCACTCTCTGAGCCAATTTTGAGACTGTCTCCTGGACTGGGAGAGAATGGGACCTTTTACAATTTTATTAAAATTTAAAGAAAACCCCTTAATGCAGGCGAGTGAGATAGTAATCTTGGCAAATGCCTTGAGGAGGAGAATGGAGGAGAGACGGAGAGAAAGCCATGAAGCAATGGAGGTTTACAGCTTGCATGGAGGTCAGACAAATGGCTGACATAGCCACATGGCTGGGAGAAGGAAGCTTTAGAAAAAGTAAAGAAATGCAAGATGCTAGGGGCAGCCCAAAGCCTTAAAAAAGCATGCTTAGGAAAAGGATATGGATAAGAAAAGGAGAAATCATGATTTTCTGAAGAATTCAGAAAAGTGGACAAACTTACAGTCTACGTGACTGTTGCTGGTCCAGAAGTTCTGTCCTAGGAAGGCAGGATTCCAGGCAGGAAAACTTTGCTATCTCATTAATGCACTAAGAATTCCATCCATCTATTTAGCATAACTTAAAGTGAACCTGCCTTCCTGGGGTGATTCTCTGACCAAATGATTGACCAGTGAAACTGGAAAGGTGGATCTTTCAACAGACTAGAGATTTTATAGTCTTGACCAGTTAAACTTAAGGGGCTATTTGCTACTTTAACACCAGGTTTATATGGGCTTGTTCTTCAGTTCTTACTGGAATTTCTGGCCCCAGGCCAGGGTAGGGTCTAGAATGCCTCACCAAGATGTCTTTTTTAAAAAATAATTTATTGAGAATTTCATATAGGCATATAAGCATATAAAGTGTTTTGATCAGTCATGCCCACTCCCTCCCCTCCAACTCCTCCCATATCTCCCCATCACTTTTTTCTAAT